GTTGTTAGGTTCATCTCTCGACACAGTCAGACGGCTGTGCATGATCTGAACTACTCATCGCATGTGACAGTATGACTGGCCTCGCTTGAGGTTGACATTTTCGCTGCGTGTTGTATGTGAGCTGTCTTTAGGTGCCGACCTTTCTTGTTTCATGAGTTGTTATGCTCATCTCTTGACACGGTCAGAGGCCGTTAGTGATCTTTGTTGGGGGCAAGGGTCAATTTTGTCAAACTGTGTGTTTTTGAGAGGTCAGGGTTGTGGAAAGTAGGTCGAGTGAACAACCCCCCCAAAAGTATGCAAAAACCACAATCACAGGTCAGGGGAAGTGTTGTCTCATCCCGGTCCGCCAGATTTGCGCATCGGGACGTGAAGCCTGAGAACTTCCTCTTCCACGACGCATCGCCTGAGTCACAGCTTAAGGCCCCAACGAAAGTGGGGAATCGAGGGGAGCATTTGAACGTCGGGAATCTGGCGCGGCGCGCGCGCGAGCGCAGGAGCGCTCTCAGTCCGCGACGAGATAGGGATGGCGGGTCACCAGAGGAGGGAATGGCCCATATTGGCGCATCTACGGACTGCTGCGTCTCCAGATGCGGGGTCACCAGTGATTTCATGCCCGCAGATCATCGACTTTGGCCTTGCCTGCCAGTTTGAGCCGGGTGCAAAGATGAACACCAAGGCGGGGCGGTGGACGGATGTTCTGGATGGAGGAGTTCCACACTGTCACTCGACCATTGGCCGAAGTAAAGGAACTTCTTATGAATCCCGGAAGGCGGGCACGGCCTACTACGTGGCACCAGAGGCACGGGCCGAGAAACCGCGGAAATCTTCTGGCGGCCGGTGCGGTGTTTCCTCCAGGACACACCTGTGACACACCTGCTTTCATATATGATTGGCAAGCAACAGCTTCGTTGATTCGAGGCGATTGTTTGGAGCCCATCGATGTTGAGTGACGTCCTTGTTCCAGGTGCTGAAGGGCGAATACGATGAGAAATGTCTGGATCCTGAGAGGGTGTCTACAAAACAAGACTTCTCAATGGCCAGGTTGTTCCCGATGAATTCAACGAACGTGGTGTTTACTTTGAAGGCACTTCTTGCAGATGCTGGGCCGGTCACCATAAATGTGTGGTCACATAGACCTAGATGGCCAGTGTACGCCAGTCATGGCCAAATGGCCATGTCGATGTGTATGCCATTGTGTGCCATCCATGTCCTCAGCTCCACCGCCCAGTGCTGCTTTCTTCGGCCCACCCCTTTTTCCTGCCGCCCAGGCGATGTCTGGAGTGCCGGCGTGGGGGCCCCTCAGGGGCCTGGGACAGGGGGGCCTGGGGGATCCCAAGAATGAATTCCTGAGACAGGCGGAAAAGGTGTGTCTCCTTTCAGGCTTCAGAATGCAGATGCATGGTGCTCTGAATCACCCCCAAGGCTTGAAGGTAATGCTGATGATGTGTGGCCTCCACTTCTTCTGCACGATTAGCTTCCAGCTTCAAGCATCCTTGACCGGGCGGTGAGAGACAGCTCATGATGGCACCTTACAAAGGCATGCATGAATCTGTTCTTGCCACACACCCCACTGCGGAAACTGCTGGGAAGCCCCAAGCACACAGGGATTCACTCCATCAGAGAAAAAAGGCTACCTTCCCTCCAACAACAATGGAAGTGGAACAAGCTTACAGGGAAGATTGTTTCCTTTGCCAATTTTTCCAATTTTGATCAAGTTTTCTTTTGGGACGGAACCTTTGAATTGGCAGCGTAAGAAACAGGTCCTCTTTCCATTGGCCGGTTCAAACCGAATCGCAGCGACCGTTTCCTCAGGTCATTTCCTTCGTCCTCCTCTGCGGCTACCCACCCTTCGCAGGTGCGGGGCCCCTGGTGCCGAGGACCCCCGCTCCGTTTCAACGGGGAGGGGGGGGAAAACAGACGAAGCGGCCCCGTGAAAGCAGGTGACAAGGATCCCGAGATCCTGAAGAAGGCGGGTCTTTGGAGCTCTGGGGTTTGGGAGGGAAGGTCGGAAAGAAGAGAAGGCTTCTTTCCTTTTTTGTTGCGGACCTGGAAACATTCGGAGTCGGCCGTATTCGGTGGCTATGGCTGACAAGGGAAATGTTCCAACAACTGGTAGGATGTATTGAAAGCATCGATTGGACACGAATGAAAGCATTCGCCAGGAAGCAGGCAGCTGGGTCACTTGTTACCCCAGCACCATGGAGCACCTTTTGGGAGTGCTCTTCTTCTTTTTAAACCACCCAAAAGAGTTTGCATGGGTTTGTCATTTTAGAGGGGGACCTCCCAACCAATGGACCAATCGATTTCGTACGATTTAGTTTTTTTTTGGTTTTCCCACAGGTCTTTGGGGGGATTCTCCCTGTTTCAATACCCAAACGCCCCCCTGCATGCCCCATCGGTGGAATCGGTCGGATGGACACGGCAGGTGAAGTCGGGGAGCTTTGAGTTCCGATCGCCTGAGTGGGATCCCATCTCACAAGGCAGTCTGCGGTTTGGAGGGGGTTGGGCGGGGTAGCCAGCTGAGGAGCGGAATGGGAATGGGCATGCCGGGTGATGGAGATGGGGTGGTAGGCCATCTTGTTTCCAAGATATACGTGTTCAATCAAACTTCAATCAATCATGTCAAAAAGCATGAAAAAGCACTTACATCCATTGTCAGCGGGACCTGGACACCTTAACAATCAACTGCAGTAATTGCATGTGTTTCTTTTCGTCAATGCATTCTTTGATGAGAGCCAGTTGACAACTGAAGGGCTTACTTAGCCTTGGGGTTTTCTTTCTGGATACCCACCGACCTGTGGTCTTCATCAACTATCTGTCCAAGAGGCCAGCTATTTGAAGCATATTTCCATGGAATTGATCAGTTTGCCTTGGTGTGGAGGGATGCGCCATTTGGCTGGCCGGCCCAACAGTTGCTGAGTTCGGCACATCAACTCAAACATGCTTTTGATAAGCTCAAAACCCTTTTTATGTGAGAGAATCCTGCCACTGTTAACATATTAACCGTGCTGGGCGGCCAGAGATGTCCATTAAAACGAATTCTTAACAAAAGGAGTTCAGACCCAAGGCATTGCATGACATTACAGACCCAAGGCGCTTGGGAGGGCGCTTGGAATTCGCTGTGATCGATCTCGCGATGGCGGCCATGGCATGCAGCGAACAGCTCGGGCAGTCGGAAGATGTCCCCGAGATGCTGCGGAGGTGGGGACAGTAGAGAAGAAACTATAGGTGAAGTAGAGTGTGGAGTGTTTCATAGTGTTTCCACACTGCGCAGTGGGCAAGGTGCTGAAAGCGGGCGGGCTTTTTTGCAGACTTGGTCTGTTGGTTCTTTCTGAAGAATTACAGATACTTGGACAGATGTACTACTGCTTTGCATTTTGTTGTCAGTGGATCAGTGGATCTCCAAACTATATATATATATAATATATATGTGTTTGAAGCTCTAGAACTCGAAGGGCTTGCGAGATACTGGTTGAAAGGGAACATCGGGCTAGTCCTGCCCTCCAACGGCTCGAAAGCGACAGTTTCTCACGTCAGGTCCCTCGGGTCCTCAGTCTCTCGCAGACGCAACAGTGGCGAGCTGCCCTGTACGCCTTGCAGTGGCCGCCGAAGGCGCGTAGTTTGCGCCAGATCCAAAAGGGCCACCGTGATTGAGAAGCTTTTCTTCAGAAACACCCGTGGGGCAGGACACGTTTGGTGATGTTTTAATTATATATCATTACTGGTACCTTTTTTCTTTTAGAATTTTCAGTTGTTTGAGAGGAGCAAGCCGAAATACCTCGCCTCGAAAAGCAGTAAAAACTGTCCTCGCCTCTTGTGGAGCGGACTGAGCGGAGAGAGGGAGCGGACGTGATCAAATCGCCTCATATGATGTGATATGGGCTGGCAATGAATGACCTTCCAGGCTCAAAGTCTTTGCAGACATTCAGCAGACACTTGAATGATCACTGATCACCATGTTTGCCTCCAACTATATAAACCAGGTAAAACATGGTAAACCTGACTTCATTCCAGGTGGTCCTGTACAACAGCACCATCAGTGCTTGCGGCAAGTCACAGGTCTGGCATCGAGCCATAGACCTTTTAGAGAAGCTTGCAGCTTTGCTTCAGACTCTCTCTCTCTCTGTTTTTGTTTCTTGGTTGGGAGGCAACAAACACAAAAAATGGGCGTGTATTAAAATAGGAAGACCTCCCATTCGACCCCCACAGAAGCAGGGACATAGACCAGTCTGCAGTCTACCCAGCCAGGGCCACTGGCGGCCAAGGGGGTCCCCCTCCAAATAGATTGGTATCGGCTCTAAGGACCTTGCGAGCTATTTCGAAGCCAAGTACCATCAGCATCAACAGTGGCATCAGCGCATGTGAGAGAGGTCAACAATGGCTCCAGGCCATGCAGCTTCTGGCGCAGATGCAAGTGCAGCAGCGACTCGCCTCGTTGTGTTTTTTCAACCTTGGAACAGACGGGAACGATCGAGAACATGGATGTGTGGTGGGGTGCAATAGGACACAATTGGGCTCGTCTTCGGACAGAATACCTAGCACCCTGTGCGTCGGGGGCCAATTGGGGCAAGGACACCTGCTTACCACTCAGCTGATGGGCATGTATTAGATCATATAGGGTATGATAGCAGGTGAGTATACAGCAATGATCTGATGGGTATAAGGCACCTGATTTTGGTTTGGTTTCAGGTCATTTCTGCCCCTGTCAGCCCGACACTGGATCAGCCACCCGGTTCCGACCGCGACCACCGAAAGCTGGGCCCGGTCACCACAGTGGTTTCGTTTTTGATGCAAAGCGAGCCATAGGGCCCATACAGTCATACAACCCTAAAGCAATGGGGACAACATGGTAGAAGCAATGCATGAACCAGACACTTCCGGATCCAGAACTTTTTGCGATTGTGTGATTCAGGATCGAAGCGGACGAGCTGACTCTCAATACCTTGATGAGTACCTTGCAGTGGCAACAGCTCTGGTCATTGATGGAATGCATGTATGAGAAGGAGTCCTTGAACAGTTTTGGAGCCGAGCTCGCCTGAGACAAAAACACCCCAAGCTAAGGAGATTTCAGAGCCTCACTTTCTCCTCTCTCAACTCATCACAGCTTTAGATGTCCAATTTTTCCCGGATGCGTAGCGAAGGGTTCCCGTTTATAGTTGGGGGTCTGGGGGTTGGCGCTGTGTTTGCATGGCTTGCGTCGTCTCGTCGTCTCTCGTCGTCTGTCGTCGTCTGTCGTCGTCTCTCGTCGTCTCTCGTCGTCTCTCGTCGTTTGTCGTCGTCGTCGCGTCTCAAATTTGCTGCCATTGGGGGAAGCTTTTGCAAGTGAGTTTACATGGATGCGTCACGTGTCAGTTTGCGCCGCTATTCCATTGTGATTTGCATGACAAGGACATGTCGCGCAAGAAACGTGATGCATTTCGCTGCGCAGGCGCAGCGTTTTGCAAGATCTGCAGTTTGCTGCGCAGTTTCATTGGGATTAGCGTTGGGAGAGTCGTGTTTTTGGGGTGTTGGATGTGGCCGTGCCATTGGGATTTGCGTTTCAGGGTGTGGCATCGAAGCTCGGTTTTCGTGACAAGTCTCAGCTGAAATGGCGATTTCGGTGGATGGCAGTGTGGTCGGAACGGGTGGAAATCATTCCAAACGTGTGGTGTGGTGCAAATTTTGTTGAAGTTCACGTGAGATGATATTGTCACTTTTCGTGGCAGGCGCAGGACTTCGTGCGGGTTTTGAAGGGCTGGAATCGCGAAACTGCTTGGCAGGGCTGCGTGATGTGTGTGTGCTCCGATGGGTGTTTCCGCTGGACTTTTGGAGGAAGTCTCGTACGAAACGCTCGTTTTGCAGACTTTGACGTGTGAGTTTTTGAGGAAGTCTCGTACGAAACGCTCGTTTTGGAGACTTGACGCGCAACCCTTTGCGGAGATCGTGCGTGTCGAGCGTGCGACATGCAGGCGAGAGTGCGATTTGTCCCATGCACGCGCAACCCTCTGCGGAGATCGTGCGTGTCGAGTGCGCGAAATGCAGGCGAGAGTGCGATTTGTCCCATGCGCGCGCAACCCTCTGCGGAGATCGTGCGTGTCGAGTGCGCGAAGTGCAGGCGAGAGTGCGATTGGTCCGGTGCCCGCGCAACCCTCTGCGGAGATCGTGCGTGTCGAGCGCGTGAAATGCAGGCGAGCACTGGCGACTTTGTAGTACAACTTTAGTACGCGGGGCAATCTGTGGAGCTGGAAGCTGAGAACTGGCGACTTTGTAGTACAACTTGAGTACGCGGAGCAATCTGTGGAGCTGGAAGCTGAGAACTGGCGACCTTGTAGTACAACTGTAGTACGTGGAGTATCTGGGGAGCTGGAAGCTGAGAACTGGCGACCTTGTAGTACAACTTTATTTAGTACGCGGAGTATCTGGGGAGCTGGAAGAGAGAGTCCCACAAGAGTGTCCCGCAACAGTGTCCCACTAGAGTGTCTCACAAGAGTGACCCTTAAGAGTGTCCTACAGGAGTATCCCACAAGAGTGTCCTACAAGAGTGTCCCACGAGAGTGTCCCACAAGAGTGTCCTACAAGACTGTCCCACAAGAGTATCCTACAAGAGTGTCCCACAAGAGAGTCCCACAAGAGTGTCCCACAGAGTGTCCCACAAGAGTGTCCCACAAGAGTTTCCTACAAGAGTGACCCACAAGACTGTCCTACAAGAGTGTCCTACAAGAGTGTCCCACAAGAGTGTCC